GGAAGCATGAATCATTTATTGGCACTTAAGGATGCCAGTCATCACTGCCCTACCAAACAACTGTGAGCTGGATATGCTCCTAGTCTATAAATCTAAGGGTTCTGTTTCTCAGTCTGGGGCAATATTTTGGGGAGGCATGAATCTTCAGATTAAAACCCCTCATCTTTTCAGAAGAATACAGCAATATGTTTTTCTCAAGGTAGACGAGACACTAGTCAGGATTCCAATGGGAAATAGCTAGCACACTCAAAGGGTTTTTTTTCGAGGAGATTATAATAAAGATTCTATTTACAGAGGTATGTTTGGGATTAGGGGGATCAACAGAAAATGGTAGGACGCTCAGTGACAAGGGACAGCAAGAGGCCATTAGCACTTGTAGGCCTGAAGGGACAATTGGAGGGGGGAAGGTGTCCCTGGAACCCATGGCCAAACAGGAGGGTTGTTTAACTCAACGTCTGGCTGTAGGAACTCAGCTGCTGCTCAGGATAGTGGCACACAGAGAGGGGGCAGGGTGTAATGCCCAGAATGTTCTCTTCTCTGTTGATATCCAGCTAGAGGGCAAGAGAGCCTGGGTGGTACAGACACAGGAGACAGACCCCTTGGACTCTGCAGTAGGGCAGAGAGGGGTGAATAATGAATCTAGAAGGATAGGTGGAAAAAGCCCAGCACACAAGAATAGACACATAAGGTAGAATACTCATGTGTTGAGTCACATCAGAGTTGAACAGGGAGGGAAAAGAGGGAGGACTTGAACAGAGGGAATCACCTTCATCTTGATTTTGGGGGGTCAGGAGATCAGCCTGAGGGAAGCAAGTTTGAAGCTCAGCAAAACTTAAACCTACTTTCCTGGACCTAGACTCTTAGGGAATATGGTTGTTGGTTTTTAGGTAATAATTTAATGTTTTCCCTTGTTCTTAAGAAAGGTGCCTTGTGAATATGGCTGCTTATATCCTTGAAGCTGAGGTGAAATGAAGGAAATGTTTTTGGTCCAGGTTGGGTTAGAAGTTGAAGGAGATGGTATATGGTCTTGGGCTGGGCCAAGTGAGGGAGCCCAGAAGTCCCTCAGGGTGAAGCTTGGGACCCACCTAAGTGATAGACATGATTCTTTGAGAGCTCTTTCTGTTGTGCATGTTTTGGTAGACTTATCTTTGCTCTTCAACAAAGGAGGCTCTTCCAGGCCACCAATCAGGTTGATAGCATCTACTTCCAATGTGTTCTTTTTTTTCCTGGAAAGTCATCCCAGCTTTGAGCCAGAACAGGGGACTGTCATGTTTTCTTCTTTTCTCAGGCCTACTACCCATCCAAAAGCCAAACCCTCCTTATAACCTCAGTGCAGATGCCCCCATGAGGGCAGAAGAAAGGCCCATGACTGCATTGCCCAGTATGGCAGACTGTAGCCACGTGTGGCCATTCACAATTTAAATGAAATTAGGGGCACTTGGTGGCTTAGCCTACAGTCTACTAAATGTGTCTCTTGATGCTCGGAGTTGTAAGTTTGAGCCCCACGCTGGGTGTAGAGATAACTTAAAATCTTTTTAAAAATAAATCTTAAATGAAATTAAACTTAAATGTAAAAAATTAGTTTCTGAATCACACTAGCCACATTTCAATTGCTCAACAGTCATTCCAGCTCTGTTGTATTAGACAGCACAAAACATTCTCATTCATTATAGAAAGTTCTACTGGACAAACCAGTCTAGATCCTCCTCATAGCCCCAGATAGTTTTTTGAATCCTATTCCTGGACTATCTTCACCTACAGAATCCTCTATTTGGTAACAGGTGACCCTATCTGGGCTTGTATGGTTTTGTCCAGCCAGCAAAATGATAATTGCAGACCACATTTATTTAGTTCTTAACCTGTGTGCAAAACAGTGTACTGAGGGTTGTTAATACATTGTAATTACCACACAGCCTGACAAAGACATAATTACCTCCACTTTAATGATGCAGAAACAAGCCCAGAGAATTTAAATGACCATACAACTGTTAGCTTATACGGTATGGAATTACCAATACTCAGCCATTTTTAATTCAACCTCCTAGTAAGTGGCAAAGCCAGGTTTCACATCCAGATCCAACGACTATGTCAGGTTCAGTGTGGCCAAGCCTCTGTAAGTGACAACCTTGAGACCTACTTCATAGGGCTGTAAGGATTCAGTGAAATAATTTTGGTTCTGTTCCTGGCATACAGTGGGGCTTGTAGAATTTTTATTTTTTGGTTTGGTTTTAACTCCCTTCTGTCATTCTGTCTTTCTTGGAAGGTAGAGTACAGCTGTCTAAGCAGATGGGGGTGTGGAGTGGCACACCGCCGTCTGCTGGATCCCCTCCCAGGGACCTGGAACAGCTCCTCTTCCTCACCAAGTGCTCTCCCACCTATCTTCGCCTACCCCACCAGTCCCCACCTCTCTCCATCAGGGCATCTCTTCTGCCCTGAGCCCAGGGAAAGTATATGATGGACATCGACTCTTCTCATCGTTCCCATTGCCCCTCACAGTCCAGCAAATGCACTTCATCAACAAACCTCTCCACTGGAGACCTCAGGAGGAGCTAGAAGATCAGAGGTGGACTGGAGGGGCTGCTGCTGCTGCCCTGAGCATGTCAGGTAATTATATAAGCTCTGTGCCAGACCTCCTGCATGCTGCAACTCTGGGTTCATGATTGTTTCTGGCAAGGAATCAGATTCAAAACTTCTCCCTCTTTTATTTAGTAAGAGGGAAGAGAAGTGCCACCCAGCTGAGCATCTTGCTGTTTGGGTTGAGCTTTAGGACTTGGGGGGGGGGGTTGGTAATTCCCATCCATATGAGGAAATTTTGTATCTCAAAAACAGTAGTGTTTGCTGGATAATAAATATGACATGCCTGCTTAAATTTGAACTGCAGATAAGCAATAGATTAATTTTTTGGTAGAAGTATATATGATGCAATATTTGGGACATATTTCTATTAAAAATATTTATCTGATGTGCAAATTTACCTGGACATCCTGTATATTATCTAGCAACCTTAGAGTAATTGGGCTTCTGTCTACCCTTCAGATGCCAGGTCACTTATGATTTTTAAAAAAACATTTGAGAGCGAGTATGTGTAAAAGAGCACAATCAAGGGGAGGGGCAGAGAGGGAGAAGCAGGTTCCCTACTTAGCAGGGAGTCCAATGTGGGGCACCATCCCAGGATCCCATTTATGAGGATGTGAAAGATACCTGAGAATAAGGGGGACCCCATTTATGATGTGAAAGACACCTGGGAATAACGGGGAGATTTACATGTAATTTCCTGGCTGCACACTAGTTTTGTATTCATAGCTCTTTGTGAAGTTTAGACTCCTGGTTCTCAAAACATAGTCCTGGACCAGAAATGTCAGCATCACCTAGTATTTGGTAGAAATGCAAATAAATTGCCATGTCTCCTCTCGGCCAATGAATCAGACACTCTGGGGGGTGGGGCTCGCAATCTGTCCAACAAACCCTCCAGGGGATGCTGATTCAGTTTGAGAACCATAAATTTAGATTCTGAGCAATCAGATAGTCCTATGCTTGAAACCCAGTCCCATCATTTACTGACCATGTCAACTTGGCGGAATTACTTACCCTCTCTGAGCCTCTGTGACCTCCTAAACAAACTTGAAATATAATACCTCAATTAGGATGCATTAAGAATTAAATGAAGTTACATAATATGAAATAAAATCCACAGCACCTGTCACTGTAAGAACACACAAAACAATTACTTTTACTTTTATTGTACAAATATAGGTCCACTCGTGCCCTGAGACAAATTTGATGGTCAGCAGGGCAAAAGCCCTAGTTGCAGGGGTGAGCTCTGTTTGCTTAGTTCAAACAAGACTTTAATTTCCAGGAATTTGATTTCCAGTAGTCCTATGGAGGGAGGAAGGAAATAGGAGGAGAGGAGGCAGGGCGAGAAAGCATCAGCACCCAGTGGGGACTGGTTTTCTGAGTTACAGACAAGCCCAGAGCAGAGGGCTATATTGATCGAATTCCTTCTTTTCAGCACTCAGTCCAGAACATTATCCAAAAGGCAGGGTTTTTAAATTTTTTTTTCCCATAGAAAGATGAAGGAGAGGACATGTCAGGGTGCCTCTCAAGGGAAGGTGATTAGCACACTTGGGTATGTTACAGGGCAGGTCTGGGGCCTTCCATGATCAGCCTAGATGAGGGTTTCTCAACTTTGGTTCCATTGACTTTTTGAGTCAGATGACTCTTTGTTATGGGGCTGTCCTGTGCATGTGGAGCAGCATCCCAAACCTCTACCTATGAAATGCCAGTAGCCACTCTGATCCTCCCTCACCGTGGTGACCGTTAGAAACATGCTTAGACATTGTCAAATATCCCCAGGGCAAGGGGAGCTGGAGGTGACCAATGTCCCTGGGCTGAGAACCACCCACCTAGAAAGTGTATCAGACAACGACAACCACTTCCATAATTTTAACAGCTACCATTTATTGTATTATCTCCAGTCCTCATGCTGATATTACAAAGTAGGTCTTATAACCTACATTTCACATTTGAAGAAACTGAGGCTCAGGTTAAGTAGAGGACCTTCCCTAAACCATGCATCCAGTAGGTCTGGGCTTCTGCCTGAGGTTGGTCTAACTCTAAAGCTCATATAGTTCATGCTGCACATTCTGTTTCTATCTAGAAAATTAAGGATTTTTTTTTCTTTGAGGAAACTTGAGTCCAAACATATTTATTGAGAAGCCATGAGAAGCTGTAAGAGAAATTGAAGATGTTGCTCCTGTCAAGGAGTTTTCGGTACCAGTGTCACTGGGGAAGTGACGCAGGTTGTAGGATGTCAGACTCCTACAACACAGTTAAAGAACAAATGAGGCAGTCCCAGTTGGGGCCAAGATGGACATTTCCAGAAGTAGAGCTCTGAACTGGATGCCCTTTGTGTATGACTCTCACATGTCTTTGCACTGATGATACAAAGGATTGAAACTTTGAGGTTCACAGGGTCTACCAGCCATCTCTCCTTTGAAACATCAACTCTCTTGCCTTGGTGTGGGCTGTAGGTGGCTTCTAGCCAAACACTCTGCCATCTTCTTTTTGGCTCTTTGCAGGAACTCTACCTTTCCCCTTTCCCTTCTCATAGCAGTATATTCATAAGCTTTGAGCTTGCTGTAGTAGTCTGAGAATTTGTTGTAGAGGATGGAAATTGGCATCCCGTTGAGGATAATTCCAAAAGCAATGCAGAGAAAGGCAAAAAGCCTGCCCAGGATGGTCTCTGGGTACATGTCTCCATAGCCCACAGTAGAGATGCTCACCTGTATGGGAAGGAAAGTGGGAAGGAACCATTAGCACTGTGATGGAGGAGAAAACAGGAGAGAATTGAGCAGGAAAATGTTTAGTCTCCCTGAAGGTACAGACAGATCATGTAATGGGTCCCACAGAGCCAGCTTTAGGAGGTACCAGAAGGTTTGCCTGCAGGATCTGCATCATGAAAAGAACACAAGCTGTGGGGCTGCAAGTCTTGGTTTAAATTCTATTATGAGTTTTCTCATACACAATACAGAGATCATAGCTGTTTTAAAGGGTTGTGGAGAGCATATAAGATACCATATGTAAAGCTCCTGGGGTAGCATGGGTTCAATAAATGTGGGTCTCTGCCTCCCCTCAGAGAGGCCAGCTTTAGGACCAGGGCCTCAGGGTTTGCCCACAAGATAGATGTACTGGGAAGAGCCCGGGCTTAGAACTAGTCATACATGGGTCCATGTCCTAACTCTGACCCTTCCCCACTGAAAATATTCCGTCTCTAAGCCTTGGTTCCTTCATCTAAAATACCCAACTCCATAGTCTTCTCTTGAAGACTAAATAAGAAAATGAACACAAAGCACTTAACACAGTATCAGGCACACAAAAGTATTAACCTCCTCTGTTGTACTTCTCTCATCTTTAAAATGGAGAAAATTATAATGCTTCTCAGAGTTATTATGTCATTCAAATGAGATATTGTCTATGAAGGTGCTTTAATTGCAAATGTCTAGAGAAACACACACTCATTATTTTGCAAAGGGACTTTTCTGTAAGACATCACAGTCCAAAAATGTGTTCACTCCGCATGAAATTTCTGCCATCACTCTTGCACACCACTTTAAATTCTACTAATTAGAGATTTATTTAGGTTAACAAGCTTCTGTTTTAAAGTGCAGATACCTCTGGGACTAGTTTCAGTCAGTGTAGCCAGAGAAAACCTGGGAAAATCTCTTGGGCCTATTTTTTAAGCCTCATGTACTGAGCCTCCTATTGGTCCCCAGACTATTGACTAAATTACTAGAAGGCTTGTAGGCAGGGCTGTTGCTTAGTTGAACACTGTGCATTGCACAACTCCAGGGGGCACCATTTGCTTCATAGATTTGTGGTGTTGCCATGATTTCCTGGAAGATGGTAGTAAAATGCACAGTTAGCCTGTTGATCCATACTAAGTGTTTAACTTAGAAATATAAACATTTTTTTGTTTTGATATAAGGGTTAGTTTAACTTAGGGTAAATGTAACTGATTAGTTAGAATAGAATGGAGAAGTGGGCCAGGTGGGCCAGTCTGGTGTTGCTGATAAGAACCATAGCTCCAGCCAGACCATGAAAAAGTGAAAGCTTGACCTCTTCTTTGGGATGGGGGATGTACTACCTCTCACTGCTCCATTTCAGTGAGAGACCTACTGAGGGTGGGCTGCCCCTTCCCATGGTGGGAGAATACAAGCAAGCACCTAAGAGAGGCAGGATGATATAGACTAGCTTGAGGAAACAGAGATGGCCTTAGGCTACCTGGCTCTGAATCCATCTCCCAGCTGTGTGACTTAGGCAAGTCACTTATATTCTCTCTGGCTCTGTTTCTACTTGTGAAATATGGCGAGAATAGTAGGTACCTACCCCATAGGGGTGTTAACGGACTGAAGGAAAGCCTGGTGCTGACTATGTGAGTGATAATGTTTAGTTCTCATGGTTTTTAGACCTGTGGGCTATAGAAATGGATTCCTGCTTGGATCCTGCTGAGCAGCAGGGAGATGAGGTGGGGGACACTCTGGCTCCAGGAGAGAATCTTCGTTTCCTACTTTTTTGCAAAGGGTGAGGAGAGGCAGTGGTACAGTGAGATCGTGGGTTACTCTCAACGTATGTGTGTGTGTGTGTCTTGTCACTGGCCATATCTGAAATAAAAGACCCAAGTCAGGTCTCTGTCTGGGTACGTGAACTAAACCATGGCTTTCATATGTTATTAAGCACAGCACTCATACCTCTGTATGAACTTTGAGTTCCTCTGTCTACTGGCCCTGGAGGAAGCCTACAGGCTTCTGGGTATAGGGCCAAGTGACAGGAAGGGGTAGTTCAGAACAGGAAGCATCCATGCAAGGCCAAAGCAGGGGCTCTGAGTTTACCTAGCCTGCAAGATGGAAGGCAGGAGGCTAGGAGAATGCAGAGGAAGATAATTGAGCCAAAGTGCCTATTTTAAACTTCTCATCAATCCCCACACTGGCTTTCCTTCACTTTCAACCTCGACTTCATTTTTTTTTTTTTTTTGGCTGAACTTTGAGTGAAGAGTCAAAAGCAAAGAGCATTGGCTTAAGGGAGATTAAATATTTGATGCACATAATATGACCTAAATATTTTTGTGTATCTTGGATCTCTATTTTTAGAGAAAAGATGTCTTCTGCTAGGAGGCTCTGTCTGACTGGTCCTGAAGAATCTGTTCAAAATGCAGAGCTAATCTTTGCACTGTCTATCCTGTGGACAGTTTGATTCAACTAGTGACATGGTGCTTGCTCCTTGCTTCCAAGAGAAATGCAGAATTTCTCAGTGTTCGGGGACTCTTCTCCATGTTCCACTGACCAAACCCATTTCTCCCTTCATGAACATGAAAAATGGAAGGCCCTAGACTGACACATGTGACCTCACAGAGTGAGTTCTTCCATTAGGAGGAGTTGGGTCTAGAAATGTGACCAGTGTTTCTGCAATCCATCTTAATATCCTGAAAACATTGGCTGGCTCAGCCACTCAATAAACTGGAAACGTACCATTCCGTGGAAGGCTTACATATTTTCCCTAGCCTTTGGGTCCCAAAAGCCAGAATGTGACCTTTCCCCCAGAAGCTCACCCATCAATCAGCAAATCCTGGCTGCCTCAACATTATAGGGAGGACAAGCATCCAGTTTTTCTCTGAAACCTCAGAATGACTATACTGGTATTTCTCCTTTAACAAGGAATGTTTGTTTCCTTCATAATGAATGAAGCCTAGATTAAATCTTGGCACCTGGTAATCCACACATGTAGGAAATAGGATCCCAGGGAACACAACCGATTTTTCAAAATAACAAACACCCCTTCTAGTGTTCGCAAACAATTCGAGGTGGTAAAGACCAGTAATTTCTGGCTAAAATTATTACATATCTCAATGCATGTTGTCTTTTAAAGGATTTAGCTTCAAAGGCTATACGTAGCCTATTCATGCTGTTATTGCTACAAATATTTTAGGAATTCCTCTTTGGATTCTAATCTGCACAGAGGAGTCAGTGGCATGACTTGAAGCAAGTAGTCTTAATCCTCAAGGTGGATAACTCTAGATGTCAATCTTAAACTCAAGGGTCTTGATGATATTTTAAAATCTCAAATCTGCATTAAAAAAGGTGAGGATTTGGCACCATTTCAAAAAAGTAAATGGGGCATATCACAGTCTCCAAAGATAATTCCCCAGTGGAATTCAGAGAATGTTTTGAGGGGTGGAAGCTTTGTTAGAATGAGGTCATGGGTGAGATGAGGGCTTTAAGGAGAATCCACCAGCCTCATCTGTATGTTAAAGTCCTGATGTGTATGTAAATTGTACAATAAGGGGGTGTGCAAAAACTAAGGCAGATATAGGATCTATTTATCCAGCCATGGAAAGGTACACAATAATGGTGGTGTCCTCCACATCCACGGTTCACTTGGTACTTTTGCCTATTATCCTCGACAACTCCAATTCCCACAAGTCCTCCTGGCTTACAGGAGGATCATTGTTTGAGGACCTCAAGGGGTACTACCCCAGAGTCTTAAGTCCACAGGAGCAAAAGTCATAGAAGTACCTAAGAGCCTTTGCTCCATTTATGGGTCCTGTGCTATTTCTGAAAGAGCTAAGAAGATGCCTCCTTCTTTTACTGCTATCTGTGCCAAACATTTACCCATTGTCTCTCAGTCCCAAGCGTGACACTCTTCTGGACTCTTTCCTGTAGTTCTGCAGCTGGGAATCTGCACACTACATTTCCCAGACGCCCTTGCTCACTGGCTTCTGGTTCTACAAATGAGATAGTGTGGGGACACTAGAAGTGAGTGAGGAAATAAGGGTCTCTACTCCTGCGTCTGGTGTCTGTCCCCATCCTCCAGTATAGCAGATACCTGTGGCTCAGGCATCTTTGGGTACATGGGACCCTAACCTCATGGTGTTATCCTAGGAGTCCCCGTGACAGCTGCTCAGTGGCTCTTTCTCTGCACTTGTGGGTTGGAGTAACTCTACCTTCTATGTGGTCCCTCAGTTCTAAGCCTGGAAGCTGTTCCATGTTTCCCCTTGCTTCTCTTCTAGCCTTCTAACACCCATGTATCTATAACCCTGTATCAAATTCCATCTGTTTAAAATATCTACTCCCCCCACCATTTTCCTGACTGCAAGTTGGCTGATTCACCTTCAAATGGGTCATCTTAAAGTAAGCAATCAATCCATTAAAATCAAATAAAATCTCAGCGATCTTGTAAGGGCCATCTATTTGCAAGGAAATGATAGCATACTTTGGGAAAACAAAGATAGGAGCAAGGTCTCTGTGGCACAATTATCTGTTCCCTCAGCCAGAGATAAATTTTCTTTTTGAAGAGTTTTTGTTAGTTTTTGAAGGAATGAGTTCATGACATAGTTTCCTGTTTGGTTTCTATAGTTTTAACTTACTCTTGAAGCTCAGAAGGAAATGGCCTGTTGAACGGTCCGGTTGCCCTTTTCTGCTTAAAAACATAGCTGCGCTGGAGGCCAATGATGACAGCTTCATTACAGAGCTGACTCTTCCTGCCTAGCTGTGCCATGCATCTCCTGCAGCCAGGCAGCCAGGAGAGCCCCAACATGGCTGGAGCGGGTCCAGGTGTGTGCCTATTTATCTGGACACGTAGAAGCTCTTCCAGGGGAGAACAGCTGACCCCCTCATATGTCTTAGAGTCTCTCTTTTTCCAGTAGAGAAGGAATCACTTCTGTTTTATTTTCCCCCAAATGAATCTGGAAGCAAAGGTTATGGCTTCCACATGATAAAGACTATCAACTAGACAGATATGGTAGCTTCTATTTATGGTGGATGTACTACAGGCTAGCATTTTACATATGTTTCCTATTACATTAATGCTCACAAATAATCTCCATTTGACAGACGAATAGGACAGGGCCATCTTACATCCTAATGCGTGAGCATTTGCAGACATGAATGTGTCCATGAGGGATTTGTTTTGCAGCTGGAGAAGTATTCACAACAATGAAAATTACTGTATTCCTCTTAAAACCTTGGGTTGATTTACAGAGGAAGGTTGCAGGATCCTTGGCATAGAGAGAGGCAAGATTATGAAAAACGAGTCATATTTTAGGGTTGTCTGAAAGTACTAATAGCACATGGAAGGATGGTTTAGAGAATGTGTCTCTAATGAGGTTGAATATATAAGGCATACAGCACAGTAGTCTGAAAGATACTACCAATCCTTTCTTTACCTCATTTTTAAACTCTCAGTTTGTGAATATGTATTTTCTGATGTGTACTGAGAGTTGAGCAGCACTGTCTTACTACAGTAGAATGACTGTATTATGGATCTAATTTTTTTAATAGAAATACAGTCAACACACAGTGTTACATGAATTTCAGGTGAACAACATAGTGATTGAACAAGCCTACACATTATGCTACCATCTGTTACCATACAACCTGATTACAATATCATTGCTTATATTCCCTATGCTCTACCTTTCATCCCTGTCATTTAAAATTCCATGACTGGAAGCCCGTAGCTCACACTCCTCTTCACCCACTTTACCCATTCCCCACCACCACCCTGCTATCTAGCAACCTCTAATTTATTCTCTGTATTTATGGGTATATTTCTGCCTTTTTTTTTTGGTTGGTTCATTCATTTTATTTTTTAAGATTCCACAGAGAAGTAAAATCATGTGACATTAGTCTTCCTCTAGTTTATATCACTTAGCATAATGTCCTATAGATCCATCCATGTTGTTGCGAATGACAAAATCCCATTCTTTTTTTTATGGCTGAGTATATATATCCCCTGCGCTGTGTGCATGTGTATATGCACACATACCACATCTTTATTCATCTATCAATGTACACATGGGTTGCTTCCATAATTTGGGTATTGTAAATAATACTGTGATGAACATAGGGGTGCATGAATCTTTTCAAATTACTCTTTTCATGTTCTTTGGGTTAATACTCAGTAGTGGATTTCCTAGATTGTACAGTATTTCTTATTTTTTTTTAGGAACCTCTATATCGTTTTACACAGTGGCTGCACCAATTTACATTCCCACCAATAGTGCACGAGGGTTCCTTTTTTCCCCACATTCTCGCCAACTCTTGCTGTTTCTTGTCTTTTTTATTTTAGCCATTCTGATGGGTATGAGGTGATATCTCATTGCAGTTTTGATTTGCATTTTACTGCTGATGGGTGATGTTAAGCATTTTTTCATGTGTATGTTGGCCATCTGTACATCTCCTTTGGAAAAATGTCCATTCAGTGGACCTAATACTTTATATCTTTCTGTATCTAAGCTCATTGCCATAAAACTTTTCAGTGCTTTTCTACACTGGATGGGATAATCTGGTCTTCTCTTAAACTCTAAATTTGGCCTTATGACTTTCCTTCACCAATGGGCTGAACAAATGACATGAACAAAAAATTATAGTGTTCACATGGTTGAGCTTGCACTCCCTCTCTTGTCCATTGCCATGGGCACATGCCTGCTGGAGGATGAAGGATATGTGGTCTAGTCTCCTCTTTCATCCCAGATGTCAGCCAGCTGATCATCAGACAAATGAGTGACTGGCACCAGCCCAAATGAAAAGAATCTTCTAGTTGAAACCAGCTTAAATTGCTGACTTGCAAACTCATAAGCTAAATCAATGCTTGACATTATAAGTGATTAAATTTTGGGGTAGGGGATCCCTGGGTGGCGCAGCAGTTTAGTGCCTGCCTTTGGCCCAGGGTGCGATCCTGGAGACCTGGGATCGAGTCCCACGTCGGGCTCCTGGTGCATGGAGCCTGCTTCTCCCTCTGCCTGTGTCTCTGCCTCTCTCTCTCTGTGTGTGTGTGACTATCATAGATAAATAAAAATTAAAAAAAAATTTTGGGGTAGTTTGTGATGCATAATTATTATAACAATAAATAATGTAATTTATGAATAGCTGAATACATTTACCATGGGTATGTGCTCAAGAAGTTTTAAATTACAAGATACGTGATCAATAGAAGACTTGGAGACAACTGCATCAGAGTTCATTCTGATTCCCCCTTATTGTCATTTCTGTTCAGTCATGTCTATATAGATGGGTTTCTTCTCATTTCTTCAAATTTCAGGCAATCCTATCAAAGGTAGATTCTGCACCCAGTTCTTTCTATCCTATTATCTCATAGGAGACACACATGAGTATCTGAAATAATATATTCTCTTTCTCCATTAGAATGGAAATCCATGAGGGAAAGAAATTCATTTTTTTATTGTTTTTCTATCACTCAGTATCCCTAGTGTTTAGAATACTACTTGGCACACTGGAGGTGATCAAAAAATTCTAGATCAGGGAATGAGTAAGATGAATTTTGTGATTCTGAAGAATTCATCTTTGTTTTGCATCTTTTACTTGGTATCTACATAAGGAAACAAAACATTCTGTCTGCATCATTTTGATGGTATTCTTTTCTCTTTGCTCTACTGAAAATATGGATAAATTCCACAATATGGAATGCCATCAGAAGTATGGAGAAGAATCTGCTTAATCTATATTGTCCTGGGACATAGAGCAGCATTTGAATGTTCAAGGGGCAACTCCTATAGTTTTCATAGAGAAGGTCAGACATATCTAATTCATAATGATTTTTACTAGTCTATAAAATTCTCAGAGAATAAATGGACAGAGGCTTTTGATAAAGGTTAAGGTTGGCCAATGGTAAGGTTGAAATGTGCAAATTTTGGCCTGTGAAAATAGTGCTTGATAGAGACAATGGCCACAAAATAAAACTTGCATCAGCAAAAGCAATAATCGCTAAAATTTGTTATCAACAAAAATGGAATGGCGATTCAACTTTTATTGTAAAACTTAAGGAAAACACTGATTTTTAACTAAAACAATTTTGGCATATAAAGGGGGGTAACTTGAAAGTTTTAAGTGTCATTGTACATTAAACAGATCAAGAAATTAAATGGGATCAATAGGCATTCACATCAGGAAATGTTTTAAAATGAAAAATTAGCAACAGAATTCTTACCAAATTTTGTAGTAATATACAAAATTTTAAAAAGTTTTGTGGGTTGAAAATAAGATACTTGGATGAATGGAAACTTGACTCTCAAACCTGGTAGTATATCATCAGCATGTGGATTTGCTCTCCCCCCCCCCCCTTTCTCCTTTACCTACAAAATAAATGTCATGTTCTGGGGACAAATCATCCTCTATCAGCTCCATCTGTACATGTGGTTTATCTACTATGGAGATGACCTTTTGTCACCTGGAATATGATCAGAATTGCAACATTTGGCTAGCTCATTGGGAAGAGCCTAATGTCATCCTATCACTGAAGAAAGCTCACAAATCCTATTTGACATATGAGTGCTCTGCTTTTCAGTGACGGAAGACTAATTGAATTATAGAGTTCTGTAGCCACCCCTTCTTAGAGACAAGAAAACTAAGGACAGGAAGTAAGGAAGTGAGGTTTCATAATTACTTAGTGTCAAGTTAATTTTTAGCAGATTTAGATTTAGATTTTAGTCCCAAATCTTCCATCTTGCTGAACTGCATTGTAGTTCTGGGTTGGTTCTGTGTAGCCCTGGGTCAGTTCACCTCAGAAGTTCACACCAGTTAGTAGGTTCTAACATACCCAATGATAATATTGAACGTACCTTGTTCCTTACATGGGGAAAAACTGGTTATATTTGCTTAATGTTCTTTAAGGCATTACAAGGCTTCTACTTCTAAAAATAGGGAAATCACAACCCACTTCTTCCCTCTATGTACAAATGTCAATTTATCAATCAGCATGTACAGTAATTGGTTCAGGGATTTTCCAGGGATTTATTTAGCCTAGCATACCAGACATTACAGATATTTGAGTAAGTGGCATAAATTATTATACAAGGCAAGTACTGAAGAAAACAACAAAAATAACTAAAAGACTGTGCAAATTAGGCAATGCACACCCCAGAAATGAAGCATGAAGGAGGCAGTGCTGACTGTAGAAAGGGCATGGATTTTGTCATTGGATGGGTTTGGGTTTGGCTACCTTTAGCTGTGTGTCTACACCCTCTGTTACTCACTTCCTCCAGCTATAGAATGGGGCGAGAATACCAGATCCTGAAGGAACTTCAGTGACACTGGAGCAAGTTTTGGTTGTAGATGCTTCTTTCCACACTCCGGTTTGGCTAGAACAAGTGCGATTTTAGTTACGGTGGACACTGGTCAGCTGAGTCTCACTTTTTCCCTGCATAAAGTTAATAGTTTTCTTCAAATTTGGAGCCATTTCCAATTTGTTCCCTTCAAAAAAAAAAAAAGTGATCCTAGCCATTCACAGGGTTGTGATACTGAAATAAGAGAATCTTTACAAACCACTTAGGACATCAAGTGTTGGATAGGTGGTGAGTAAGAATGAGGATGATGAATTTTTCCCACATAGGTGAACAAGAAATCCTTCTTAAAATCAGGCTGTCCAGGGATTTAAGACTACATCTAGATTGAGATTCCTAGAACCAAGTTGAATTCAGCTACTTACTGGACTGTGTCTTTCCAACTTTATAACCCCCACTGATGTTGTTATTCACCCGAGGCAGCAGAGGCCTGGAGAGAGCAGCGGCCCCCAAGCAAGGCAGGCTGGCTGCTGACCCAGGAAAGGGAAAGGGAGGACCGGCTTCGGCGGGGGCTGGGGAGGAGGGCGGGGAAGCCGGGGCCTTGGTACTCACCGCGGCCCACCACCAGGCGTGGGGGATGCTGGTGAAGTTGGTGTTGGGCACGTCGTGCTCCACGGAGTAGACGGCCGCCGAGAAGGTGAAGATGCCCATGGTGATGAAGAGCATCAGGCAGCCCACCTGCTGGTAGCACTGGCGCAGCGTGAAGCCGAAGGCGCGCAGGCCGGTGGAGTGGCGCGCTAGCTTGAGGATGCGCAGGACGCGCATGAGGCGCATGATGCGCAGCACCTGGCCCACCTTGCCCACGCGGCCCACCGTCTCCAGGTCGTGCTCCCGCTGCGAGCCCTTGCCGGGCCGCTGGTCCTCACCCGTGAAGCACTCGAGCAGCAGCTGCAGGTAGAGCGGCAGGATGGCCACCAGGTCGACCACGTTGAGGGCGCTGCGCGCGAAGCGCCGCAGGTCGGGGGTGGAGGCGAGGCGCAGCAGGAACTCGAGCGTGAAGAAGGCGATGCACAGCACCTCCACGTGCTCCAGGATGGGCCGCGGGTCGCCGCCGCCCGCGCCCTGCTCCGCGCGGTGCTGCATCTCCTCCACCGTGTTGAGCGCCAGCGCCACGACGGAGATGAGCACGAAGAGGCTGGAGGCCACGCCGATGGCCTTGGCGGCCACGGACGAGAAGGGCTTCTCCAGGAGGTTCCAGAGGCGGCGGCGCTGCGGCCCGTAGAAGCGCATGTCGCGGAAGAGCTCCTCGGCCTCCTCGGCCTGCGCCTGGGCGCGCAGCTCGCGCTGGATCTTGAGCTGGTCGCTGAGCTCGTCGCGCCGCTCCTCGAAGCAGATGCGGCAGCAGCGCGGCGTGTACTTGAGCCGCACGCCCCAGTAGCCCAGCTCCTCCAGGAAGCTGCGCGGGCACAGCTCGTCGCGCACCAGCAGCACCCCGGACGCGTAGAAGTTGTAGACCAGCTGGAAGACGGCGGGGTCGCGGTCGAAGAAGTACTCGTCCGTCCGCTCCTCGTAGTCGTCGCACAGGCCCAGCTGGCGGCTGCGGCTGGTGGACGCGGCCAGGCGGCCTAGGCGCGTCTTGGGGTGACAGGCCAGCTCGCCGCAGTCCAGGCGGTAGCTCTGGCCGCCCACGTTCACGTTCAGCGCGGACGCCGCGGCGGGAGGGTCGGTGCGGGCGGCCTCGGGCTGCTGCTCCTCGCCGGGGTCGTCCTTCAGATCATCCTCCTCCTCCCCGTCCTCGTCCTCCTCGATGTAGTAGTTATAGCTGCCCTCGGTCCACGGCGGGATGCTGGCCTGGGAGCCGGAGCGGGCCCCCACGGAGCAGACGCTCCTGCGGTGCTGGCTGCCCGCGGCCTGGGACGCCTCCTCGCCCTCCGTGATACCCCAGGGCCTGCAGCCCCAGGACCGCCGCCTCTCGCTCTGCTTCAGCATGGCCGCGGCAGGTGCACCCCGGCTTCTCCTTCCCGGCGGTCGTGGTCTGGCTCTCCGGGCTGCTGACGGCCGCAGTGACTTAGAGCAGCCTGCACCCGTGCCCGGCGGTCCCAGTCCAGCACTCCGAGGAGCCTGGGCAGGCGCAGATGGCTGTTGACGGCTCTAATCTTGCTGAGTGTTAGGAGGGATTTAGAGCCTCTCAGCTAGTTTCCTCCTCCGCTCCCTGACGTAGGGCTTGATTATGTGGTCTTAAGTCTGTAGATAATCAGAAGGTGGCAGAGACGATTGCTAATAAAAACGTCAGCAACTCTTAGGAGGTGCTCAGTGTCCCCGTGTTGGCGTGAAATCAGCTGAATTAACCATAGAAAACGGGTGCCTGGGTCTTGGCCTAGCTCTTGAAATTGCAGCCTCTGCAGGAGCAAGGACAGAAATGGCCCCAGAACGCTTGAAGCGCCCTTCATCACAAGCCTGTGTCCTTCTGGTGTAGCCCCTTGTTTAGATCACACAAGACCTCAGATGATCCCCTTCCCATTCTTTCACACAATCACATTTTTCTCCCCCAGATGGATTTTACTTAGCAGTACTGCTCTGGAGTTCAGTCTTATCTTCTCAGTAGTTGATTTGCCTTTGTCTCTGTTTCTCTGCCTCTCTTTTCCATCCTTCCTTTTGAGTGATAAAGGCGTGTTTCCAGATAGAGTCCCAGAACTAGTGGGTACATGTTCTTGTGCCCCTGCTTCGTGGCTACATTAGATCACATGTAAAGGTGACCAGACTTTATTCCAAGGAAAAGGTCTTCACTGTTCTTCAAGACATCACTTAAGAAAACATTTTTTTTTAAGTCTCTTTCCATGTGTAAAGCAAAGTACTAGATGCTGGAGATGGGAACTCTATGGGGACACAATCGCGCACAGTTTTGTGGGTGATGGAGTTAGGCAAGCGCAACAAAAGAGGGAATTAAAAATACGTGGGTAGCAGAGAAGAGGAAGAGATTTGTTCTGAGAAGAAAATTTGTTTCTAAGTTCAATTTATTTTGAATAGCTAGTAAGCGTTGATGGCAAAAAAAAAATTCAAAGGGTACAAGGTACATTATAGAGGACAGTTTGTCTCTCTCACAAATGGAACTTGCAGTTATCAGGTGTGCCTCTGAGGAGGCAGCCACTGTTACTGTTCCAGAATACTTTTTCATCGTTCCTCCAAAAATATTCTAAACGTATGCAAGCAAAAGCAAAAGCGCATCTCCATCTGTCATCTGAATAGCTCTTTATTATTAACACAAATCACAGTATACTCCTATACATTGCTTTTTCCAATTAACTATGTATCTTAGAGGTGTTTTAAGTGTAAGTGTCTATCTCATTTTGAGAGTAGCCGCAAGTAGTCTGACAGTGTTGAGCCTTCAGGTTGTTTTATATCTTGCCTCCTGTAAACAGTGGTGCAATTAAAACCTTGCATATACATTACTGTATACATGTTCAAGATGTAGGAAGGATCATCAAGAAATCTGACTAGATAGGACAAAACAAATTTGACAGATGCCTTGGGGAGAGATTAAAAATGATATCATCTTACACATGCATGAATAATTCTATTTTTTTTTAAGATTTAATTTTATTTTTAAGAGAGAGATCAGAAACATGAGCATGGGAAGGGGCAGGGGAGAAGCAGACCCCCCCTGCTGAGCAGGGAGCCCTATACAGGGCTCCATCCCAGGACCCTGGGTTCATGATGTGAGCCGAAGGCAGATGCTGAACCCACTGAGCCACCCAGGTGTCCTGATCAATGCTACTTAAAATAATGTTCTGTCTGATAGGAATGTGTGTCTTATTTGGAATTCTGATTCAAACAAAAAGGCTAAAATGTTTTCAAGACAGTTGGAAATTTGATAGTATTTAGGAATTCTTGGGAATACTTTTAGTTATGGTAATGGTCTTGTAATGGTAAAAGAGAGGTTGTATATCTTTAGAGAGACCTACTGACGTGTTTACGGACGAAATGATATGATACCTGAGATTTGCTCTAAGAAAATACAGCATAGAGAAAGAAAGGAGATGGCCATGGCATAGAAATAGGACTGGCCATGAGTCAGTACTGTTGACACGGAGTGATGAGGACATAGAAGTTCATTATACTATTCTGCTTTCCTAGGTGTTTGAATTTCTTCATAATAAAAAGTTTTTTTTTGGGTGCCTGGGTGGCTCAGTTGGTTAAACATCTGCCTTCAGCTCAGGTCATGATCCCGGCGTCCTGTCCTGGGATTGAGCCCCGTTGTTAGGCTTCCTATTCTGTGGGGAGCCTATTTCTCCATTTCCCTCTGGTACTCCCCTGTTTGTACTCTCTTAAATAAATAAAATCTTTAAAAAAATTTTTTAAAGGTATATATAAAGGATAAATTATTAGAAGTGGAATTGCCAGATCAAAGACTACATGTTAGTAATTTTGATCGATGTTGGCCAATTTGCCTCATAAAGTTTTTATGGATCTGTAACTCATCATCACACTTCTTGAACTCCACCCGTCTGATAGGTGAAAAATGATGTGGTATCGTTTTAATTTGTATTTCTCTCATTATGAATGCAGCTCAGTATCTCTTCATGTCATTAGTTGTATGTCTTTTTCTGCCTTTTATCAACAAGTTGGCATTTTTATTGATTTATGGGAGAGGTATCTATATTCTGAAAATAGACCCTTTAGCTGGGGCATGGATTGCAATTTTCATTTCTGACTTGATCCTTCAGTGAGTTTTTTTTTCCCATATAAATTTTTTATTTGAAGGCTTCTCAGCGTAGTGCCGTATTAGGGAAGTCTTCACCCACTCTGTAATTTCAAAGGTTTTTCTTCACATAGTTCTACTTCTCACATTTAAGGATTTGATCCATCAAGAATTAATTTTGAGGTAAAGAGTGAAGTAGAGACCCAACTCCATTTTCCAGGGTTTGATCCACATGTCCCAACACATGAACTGAATAATCTGGTTTTCCCCCACGGGTGTGTAGTGCTGTCTCTATCACATCATGCAGTTTTAATTATGCGTCCAGGTCGTTGGACAGATAGATCACAGTTGTTATAGAGTCTGCACCTGCTGACCTGGTTCAGTTTTCAATAGACCTTAAACTTCCAAGCTTAAGATAAGGCCTAACCAGGCCTAGTGCAGCCTCTAAGTTCCTAAATGCGCTTCTTGTGTTCCCTGGATGGCCTACAATATTAATGCTGTTTCTCCAGACACGCACTGAACTATTCTCCAGTTTCATCTCTTCTTTCTATTGTGCTGAATACTGTCAACAAGTGCCTTTTCTCTGCAGAAGTGATCATACTATTATAAAAGAGTATCACTATTCTATTTCTCATGTCCTCTCCATTGCGGTCATATGCCGGTTCGTACCTAAGCTTTCAATGCTGTCACGGCTTTTACACTGAAACACAGGAGAGTTAGTATGTCTGTGAGGCATCTCAAAGCTAAGTGCAAACACCACAGCCATGGAGTCGTCAGGGAGTGTTGCCTGGACAGACCACACTTAATTTTCTCTTACACGCAAATGCATCTGTTGGTTTGGGCATGTTGCTTGGATTTTGCCCTTGGATTTTTCCTTTGCCGAGGGCAAGGGTAGATGCGTATCCACACATGGAAAACTTTACTAGCAAGGACAACTGCCCAAAAGTAGAATGGGAATGCATTTAAGAATCTGTAGGGAGGAGGGAAACCTGTATGATCTTAAAGCTGGCTTCTGCCTTGAAATTACTGAGATTCCAGATCTTTCTTTGATGATTCATTTGTCTTAAATTCCCTTTTGCCTTTCCTGTCCTGTGATCCTTATCCTTCAAAAGTCAGCTCAGACATCCTCCTCCTCTTTGAGCGATTCTTCTCCAACAGCTCTGTGTTGCGTCAAGATGGGTTGTTGCTCCTTCTCAGTGTTAATTTAAGGTGACACCTATCACTAACTTGAAATATGAGGCACTTATTTTATTTTATTATTTAAAAAAAGAATTTATTTATTTGAGAGAGGGAGAAGCAGACTCCCCACTGGCCTGGCAGCCAGATGCTGCACTCTCCATCTCAGGACCCTGGGATCATGACCTGGGCAGATGCTTCACTGACTGAACCCTCACAGGTGCCCCAAGGCACTTACTTTAATGAAGAGAGATTTAAAAAGTTTCCCATTACAGAAGTTCTATAAGTGCATTATAGAAGAATTTAAAAAATAGAGTGTAACACTCAAAACTAACACAACATCAATAGCATGCCCAGATACTGTGCTATGTTAATACTTACAATAACCTATCATTAAATATGTTAATACTTACAATAACCTATCATTAAATGCTATTCCTCTTTTGCAGATGAAGAGACTGGGACACAGGAATTAAATGACTTGCCCATGATTGCACACAAAGTAAATTGTGGAGCTCAATTTTACTCCAGACTAACCAGCAGGTTATAAAGTAGCATATACATATAAACTACCCATAATCTGACCATCCAAAGACACTCTTAATATTTTAACCTATGTCTTTCTATTCAATTACACATACACAGATGTATATTTAACATGGTCATGGTAATATTGGACATAAAACTATGTATCCTGCTTTTTGCATGTAACATTTTCACATATGCATTTTTTTATTTTTTAAAATATCCCACTTTGTGGGGTACCTGGGTGGCTCAGTAGTTGAATGTCTGTCTTTGGCTCAGGGCATGATCCCTGGGTCCTGGGATCGAGTCCCACATCGGGCTCCCTGCAGGGAGCCTGCTTCTCCCTCTGCTTATGTCTCTGCCTCTCTCTCTGTGTCTCTCATGAATAAATAAATAAAATCTTTATAAACAAAATCCCACTTTGTAATCATTATTTTAAATAGCTACAAATATCCTGTATTGTGGATGTACCGTCTATAACTAAACCAAATCTCTTTTATGGAAATAATGATTTTTAAGCATTCCACTATTTTAAGTAATGATGTGATAAAATGAGAGATTTTTTTCTTCCATTCTTTGGGTTGTTTTG